TGCGACAGTGATGAAGCACCCAATGTTTACGAAGCTGAGGTACTTATGTTAACTAGCAGCAACTGGTTTCTCCAAATAAATAAATAAACTAGAAATCACTATATAACTCGTTAGTCGCACTAGAAATTCACTCCGATATTAATTCGGTGTGCCGTAGAACGATACTGTGTCTTGCGCTCCGTTTTCATAGCACTATCGAATTTACTAGAATGATCCCTAGAACTCGATAGTCCGTTCCAGACAAACAAGAATATTCCAGCATCAGTCACGCGTTACTTGCAGCGCCATCTAGCGCTGTAAGGATCCGAATTATTAACCACAATCTAAATAGTTGTACTTTACTGGATACTAGATGGCGCTGTCTTTCACATTTCATACAATTCTGGAACAATCGAAACATTTGGCGCAACAAGAATACTAGAAAAGCACGTGCCTGTGATCTGAGAGTATAGCGTTTAGCATACTGAATACATTATTTTTAAACATGCAGCTGAACTTGTTATGGAAATTTCAGATGTTTGTTATAATTTATTCATTAAAGTCTCTTTAACATTACATAAAAGGAATTAGACCTGATCTATTATGGTTTTCTAGACTTAAACATAGATTTATTTTAAATTTAATCACATGGTTGAGTCTTTAGGGTCATTTTGCTGTGTTATTCTCCCTAAGGTTATGTATCTAATACTTGCCTTATAACTATGGCAGTTGGCTGATACAAGTACTAGGGATAGGTAATTCCGACCGCCCAGCTAAGCAGCTAAGCACCTAATGTTTACGAAGCTGAGGTAATTATATTAACTAGTAGCAGCTGGTTTCTCCATACATAATGTTACGAGCGGGGTATATAATAAATAAAAGTTGTCGGTTAATTACTTTTTTGCACTGAATTTACAAACACTCACTATAATAAACTAGAAATCACTAAATATCCCGTTAGTCGCACTACAAATTCACTCCGATGTGAATTCGCTGTGTCGTAAAACGATACTGTCTGGAATGGCCAGCACGCTCCGCTTTTATTGCGCTTTTGAATTTTACTACAAAAATCCCTAGTATTCGATAGTCCGTTCCAGACAAACAAGAATATTCCAGAATCAGTCACGCCTTACTTGCAGCGCCATCTAGCGCTGTAAGGATCAGAACTACTCGTATTAACCACAATCTTAATAGATGTACTTGAGTCGATACTAGATGGCGCTGTCCTCCTCATTTCATACAATCTATCTATTTAATCTAATCTAATTAAAATGTTTTCTGAAAACTGATGACCTTTAAAAGCGTGTAACCAAGGATATCCATATTTTTGTTACATTGTGTATTGCGGGATTATTACCAACAGGCACTTTGGTCGACGGGGCACGTTATCCTGCTCAAACGTTACTTTTTACTTGAAAACATTACTTATCTACCTATCTATAGCTTCTCTTCTTTCTACACAGGATGATGCTCCTCAGGGAAGTGCAATGCAGCCCGTGCACACGTCAAACGCGGAGTGCAGAAGGAGAATGACACAGTTACTAATGGCACTTGTCGATAACGGGATCATATAATAAATAAACTTATTGTTTAAAAAACTTATGTTACAACAATAATTATTATTAATATTCTATTTCTTCTTCTTTCTTAATGCAGAAGAAGGCATATATTAAACATTTTCGATTTATTAGGATATATTTTACATATATACAAAAAACTTACAAAACAGTGCCTTGCATGTTGTATTTGTCTATAAGTATTTATTACACTTTATTTAATATAGTTTGTTCATTTATATTTTGGTAGCATACAAACATGTAAACAAATGTTTGCAACTCTTAATAAATAAATAAAAGAAAGTTTTTTGGTAGTAACGTTTGGTTTAGACGGTTTTAACTTTTAAATAGTAGTGTATAATATACCTATATTTGACGTGTTGATGTTTTTAATTGATTACATAGACGTTACGTGGTGATAAAACATTTTTATTTAATGATTAGGGAGAAATTCCATCGCTCAGATTCTGTTTGTAAATCTTAGTGACGATAACAGCTAAGGGTTGACGTTCTTTCTAAACCACGTGATAAAAGACGTGTAAAATGGGGATAACTGTAAGAATTTACAATTAGATATTTAAGTTAACATTGTATTATTTAGAAACAAATTGCTTAACTAAATAGATAAATTTTGAAAATAGTCTGTATAAAAATCCATGCTTATACTAATATTATAAATGCAAAAGTGTGTCTATCTGTCTGTTACCTTTTCACGCTTAAACCGCTGAACGGATTTATATGAAATTAGGTATAGAGATGGATTTGAGTCCTAGGAAAGGACAAAAGGTAGTTTTTATCCCAGAAATCTTCCTTTTAGGGTGTGAAAAACTTCCACCCCCCTTGGGTGGAAGTTTGTATGGGGAATCAATGATCGCTGAACCGATTATGAAGCAATTTGGTATGGAGATAATTAGAGTTGTGGGGAAGAACATTACTTTTTACCGCAATAACCGGCATAAACGCGGACGGAGCGGCGGGCAAAAGCTAGTATATATTTATAGTTCTTCAGCGCCTGTGTATGTGATGAACTCCTCCTAAACGGCTGGACCAATTTTGTGTGTTCAAGTGGATTCTGAGTGTATTTTAGTAAGACGTGTGTATAGGACATTACTCGTCCGATAGTATGTATATAATATACATACATTCCATATTCATATTTATTCTATCCCTAAAGGGATAAGCAGAGGCATATTTAACGTCCACATTTTCCAGTCTATTCTTTTATTCCCACTTACGTCATAGAGAATTAGCCTATTGGCGTAAACCATCCATATATATTTCTAAATACATACATGTTATAGATAAATTATACCCAGACACAAAACAGATGATCGTGCTCATAACACAATATTTGTCGTTAGTTTGAGTCGAACCCACGACCTATGACCTTAGCAGTCAGTATCTTTAACCACTAGACCCACAGGCCAGCCCTATATACCAGTTGCCAGTTGTAAACATCTGTGTCTAATATCTATCTAACATATTGTACTATCCGTGTGGTGACAGATTTAGAATACGGCATGTCACTACCCCTATTCACCCCGTGGGTGTCGTTAGAGCCGACAAGGGAGGAAACTACGCAGAACAACAGCACTGCAAAAAGAAGGAAAACTTGACACAACCCCTATATCAACTCGTCTGGCCAATGTAGTATAGTAGGCCAAAACCTCCTTTCTAAGGAGAGGCCTATGTCCAACAGTGGACTATTGTAGGCTGTTGATGTGTGATGTGATATTGTAATTGGTGTACAATAAAGAATATTCTATTCTATACTATATATACATACATATTATAAATACTTAGAATAATAATTAAATTCTAGGATTACATGAATAATAATAATAATAATAATATATCTCGCACACTCACACACGGCCGTCTGATTCCAAACTAGGCAGAGCCTGTACTATGGTATTTATGAATCTCAGAATGTTATTTAAATTATATTTTTCTAGTATTTTTCTTGTAAATACTGAACTTCAAGATAGTCTTAATAGGCCTTTTAAATGATATACTCAGAGGTCCTAGTATTACCTAAGCACTGAAAGGGTTGGAGCTGTCTTTGCTTTGATTATTTCTGATGACCACAGGGGACCGAGGTTTTGCCTGCAAAAACCTCTAAAATGTAAAAAAAATATTTCTTACATTGTATTTGTCTTGAATAACCACACCCACTGTACGTATAGGTGCGGGATTTTGAGACGATGATTATAAAGTATTAAGGTGGGCACAGACAGCGGCCGGGACGGCGACGCAGCATGAGCCGTTCAAATATACTAACGCCGAGCGTCAAAGTACGTTACACAACCCTCTCATTCGCGACGCCATTCCGGCCAACCCGTTGTCTGACCCACCCTTAAAATAATACAAATATTATGTCGTAGGTTTGTCAAATTTATTGTATATCGTTTAGTAAATAAACACGTACAATAAACTATGGGGTTAAAGCCTTAATATTATTTATATTTTGTGACAATGTGTCTATTGTTTAAGATCTATTGTAAATGTTGCAAAATCAGATCATTTCTGTACATCTTTTAATAAAAAAAAAATCTATATACTTATTTCAATGCATAAAATAATTACTTTAGTATTAAATATAATAAACAATGACTTTGATTATTGGGACTATGAATAGATTTTTGTCGGAAACTTTTAATATTTTTCAAAGAACTGTCAAAATTACTTTGCTTAACTAAAAGTGCGCTGCCGAACTAATGCTATCTCTTTTACACTTACTACGACTGAGTAAGTAGATTAAGGATAGCGAAACTAACATGTAAACAAAATTACAATTAACAACAAAGTTTTATTTGCAGTTCTTAGAAAAATATAGGTTTGTGAATTTTATTTTACTGAAAGTCTCCGAAAATCCCATATCGGTGGCCCTAGGTTTTATGGTAATTTAAATAAGATACCCGTACTGTCTTGTGGCACATTCACTGAATTTATATTTTCATTAAATTATTTAAAAAATAAAACATAAAATACATACGGGTTTACGTATTTGACAATAAATCTTTGTAAACAGATCTAATATAAACTTAAATTAAAAATAATCAGTCATTGAAGACTTCAGATTTATTTATATCAGTTGAGATTCTAGCGCCTACATTATCTGAAGTTTCCAATAATTATCTGTTTATTTATAGATTAATATTTTTTTATTTTATTTTATTTATAACTAACAAGTCTGGTCGGTTAACAAGGCACTGGATTCTCACTTCATAAAAAAATAGATTTACCGCACGCAATATAAAAAATTTAAAAAGTAAACTAGGTATAAACAAAATTTTTCTTTTTTAAATTACTCACTGGTATATACGCGATAAATATATATTTTGTTCTGCCTTTTTGTCTAAATATCAAATTAAAATTAGCACCTTGAAAAACATTACTTAACACAAACTATAAGATACTTCAAAAATACCAAATAGTTTGTCTAAAGCAAACGATAAAAGCAGTTTACTTCACACTCGCTCTCAAGACCTGCTGCGCTGTCGGTCCCACTTTACCTTTAGAAGCTTGAGTTGGCCTCATAAAGCCCGATGTCGTTGTCTTACTGGTGAGACTCTTCAAAGGTGGCCTTGAAGTACCAACTGAGCTACCGCTAGATGAAGACCTGGATGCAGGCATCCTGGATACAGGTTTGGGAACTGGTTTGGGAATAGGTTTCACTGGGGAAGGCGGTGCTCGTTTTACAGTCGCGACCGACGCAGAACTGTTTAAGGAGCTTCGCGAACTTCTAAGAGATGCGCGGGAGGTTGACCTCTCTACTCTTAGTGAGCTAGCCCGCTTTGGAATCACGCGCTTGGGGTCTAAGGGCGTTCGAGGAGGAGTCCTCGTCTCTTTGGTAGAAATCTTCTTTGGGACTACAGGTGATTTTGTAATTTTTGGGACAGGGGACTCGCATTCCACGTTACAACCTGATGAAGCACCCTGAGATGCGCTTTCTGAGTTCAGACTTTGCGTTTCCTCAAAACCTTCGTCGTTTAGCTCATGCTCACTCTTGACTTTTGAAATTCTTGGAGATGTTGTTCTTTCTGGCACTTTTTCCGTTTTGCTATTCATCGATTTCCTGTACGCGTCTCTGGACCACACTCCAGCTGGGTTTTCTGCGGGAGATTTCAGTTCTCTTATGGCTTTCTGCACGTCTTCCTGGTTTATCGAAGTCTGTCTCCTCATCCGTAGGTAAGGCTTCGTTTCTTTGGTCGGTTTGTCTGTACTTTGGTTCTTTAGTCTTTCCTGCCACCGCTTTAGCCTAGTTTCCTTCTCGTCTTTAGTAACTTCGACGGGTTTAGCCACCACTTCTTGCGGTGCTTCCACTTTGTACGAAGCTTGGACTTCCAATTTTGACGGCCTCACGACTTGCGTTTCGGTGACTAGTGCGGGAGTCGGCTCCGGTTTCTTTTCTTCTTCAGGGGAACTAGAATCCGTAGGCCTTTTATACCTACGAGTTCTTCTCGCTGCAGAGAACCTATCAAACTGGCCGTCTCCTAAGATTTCTTGACACAATTCTTTCATTTCCGTCGTAGCCTTGTCATTCAGATTCGGTTGCTTTAGCCTGCTGGGAAGCGACGGCTGGAATTTCCTACACGGTTCTCTTTCTGGAGGAGGACTAAAGTTAGACGTGAACTTTCTTTGAGCCGGTGGTGTCTCTATATTATCGGAATCTATCTCTACCTTATCCGATTTTTCCAATCTCTCTACTTTCGGGTCCTTTTCGGCGGTGACTCGAATATCGGGCAACTTGTGCTTCTCTTCAACGATGGATATTAGAGGTTGGGGTGATTCGATCTGCTGTCTCGACCTCTGCCTTCGAAGCCTTCTCATTTCTTCGTTTTCTTCCGTCTTCCTCCGAGGCACCTTGTTGTCTTTCTTTTGCGGTTGTACATCTGGAACGATATTTTCGGTTAGAAACTTTTAAAATAAGCCTTTTAATACTCGTATCACACACCAAATTTATTATAAGATGAAGTCAATCTATCGGCGTCGCTTTGAGCGTTCGGCCCTGTGCGGGCCGGTGGGGGGCGGCGGGCGGGTGCGGTACGTACCCTCGACGGTGTGCAGCGCGCGCACCACGTCGCAGTCGCTGGGCACGCGGCGCCACTCGGCGCGCGCCTCGCGCTCCGGGCCCTCGGGCACGGCGCTCAGCGGCTCCGGCGACAAGCCGCAGCTCTCTGGAACGGGACACTCTCACATACTACACGTTGCCCTTAAAGGTAACACTGATATACTATTTGCCCACAAAATTAGAAACGATCACCACACTACATGAGCAAGGCAAGATTATTAAAAAAATTAGACTAAAATCGCTTAACCGACATCCAGATAACAAAAATGTGGGAGTGCTAATTATTATATCCACTCTATGATACTCTCATAGACTAGATTGGAAATAGCGACGATTCGTGTGGTGACGGATAGAATAGATAGAAGAATACGGAATGTCGCCACCCCAATTCATCCCGTGGGTGTCGTAAATAACTAAGGGAGCAAACTACTTAGAACAACAGCACTGCAGAGAGAAGAAAAACTTGACACAAACCCTATACTAACCTGTCTGGCCAGCGTGGTATAGTAGGACAAAACCTCCTTTCTAAGGTGTCCAGCAGTGGACTATTATAGGCTGTTGATGATGACGATGATGATGAGTGATAGAATATTCTCAATAAAAGAGACTAAATGGACCTTTCATTACGCATTTACGATACATGCCATCATCAGCCTATCGCAGTCCACTACTGGACATAGACCTCTCCCACTGAACGTCACTTAAATCAATTTATGTAATTGATGGAATAATACAGGGTTTAATCCTGGGTCCATTTCTATACCTTACATAGATAGCAGATTAAACTAACGGTCCCTGATAATGCTTAATAATATACTGACCGGAGTCGTTTTCCAAGGAGCGCTTGTCGACGAGCCGTGCCGGAGGGCCAGCGGGAGTGCCGCGGGAGGGCCGCGCCCGGGGGCTCTGCTCCTCCTGGCTGCTCGCTCGGAGCCACGACTCGATCTTCTGTCGCCACTCTCTGAGGACAAGACGTTATACGGTTACTAAAGGATATAAAAAGATACTTGAAATTCAATAGCACATGAAACATACTGGAATTGAAAAAAAATTGCTCGTTTTATCGGGTCTTTTGTAGCCGGCTCGAAGGACCAAAATGTGACACTGTGTTTTATTTTATTTTACACGATACTATATGAGATGATTGGACGTCGATCATACTTGGGTTTGGCCGGCGCGATGTCAGGCGAGTGCGCAGGAGAGACGACAGGGGCGGACGTGGGCGCGGGCGGGGTCGTCGGGGCCGCGCGGGGAGAGGCGGGCCGCTCCCGCCCCGGGCCCGGCAGCTCCAGACGAGCGCGGGAAGCTCCGCGCCGGGACCATGAACGATCTGTGAAATATAGAAATATGTCAAATTTATTTTTGAAATTCGAATTAAACATTTATATACATGAAACGCAGATTCTTACCGAGACTACCCCAGGCGCTCCTTTCTCTCAGATCGTTGGCTGCCGGCGATGAGTGTCGCAGGAATTCCAGCAGACCCTCTTCATCGTCTCCGGGACTAGCCCTACTTCTGCGACGTAAACTGCCCGTTGGAGTCACATCTGAAACAAGATTTTTTAAATGAGTACTAAGATGTAACAGTACTGTCCTTCGAATCCATAATAGTTAGTTTTAGTTAAATTTCAATCGATTCTTCTAGACCTCATTAGACTCGACGACTCGATACCTCGATTCTATACTCTTCTAGACTCGAGGATTCCAGTCGTCAAAAAAGATTAGAACAATACTAACCGGGCGAAGGCGACGGGTCGTGAGGTTTCCTTAACGATCGCCTACCCAGACCGTTCCTAATATCCAGCAAGAGGGATTCCATCAGAGACTCACACTCTGACACAGGGGTACTGCAAACGCTACTGCCGTTGGCTGTGAAAGAATGAAATATTGTATATTAGTTACGTCCTTCTGTGGTTTAATGAATATAAATGCGAGTATACGGACCGGTGTGTGCGGGGCGGAGGCGCTGCGCGGCGAGGTCCCGCGCGCGGCGGCGGGCGGCGGCCTGCTCCTCGTTGGCGCGGCGCCGCGCGTTGTCGGTCACGGCCGCGCGGAACTTGCACAGGAACCACATGAACAGCTGCACACACAAACGAGTCTATCACTCTGACTGACTTGTCGTGAGACATCTGATTAAATGGTCTCGTGACCGGTCGAATCCCACGATCGACATTCAGTCAAAATTTTTTTACCTTGAAGCACTCCTCCAGTTTGAACGATACGGGATCCTCACAGAAGAATTCTGCCAGTTGCTTCCGAACACTCTCCACTTCTTCCATATCTTTATTGAGCGCTGACACTTCTTGTTCTGCTATCTGTGACATAAAATAATATTAGCCTCCAAGCGACTTAATTGACATAGATTCTAATGACTTTTCCAACGTTTTGATTGGACAGTGTAAATGATGGACAATAATTTTGAGTTGTATCATATTTTTGACTTATGTACTATTGAGTATTATGCTATGTCAACGTTTCATGTTCTAGTTCGCTTGCGGAATATAGTTTTTTATTTAACCAAGAAAACCTGTTATTAACCATACTGTCTGTGTGTGTTATTCAGTTATAAAATAATTGTATCGCTGTTGGTTTTTAATAAATAAATAAATTTACTCACTTAATAATTACTTTTCAATAATAAAATTGGTTCTAAAATTTTAGAAACATTCTTCCTATTACTAACAACGATATCACTTAAAATAAATTATGGAACTAATAACATTTTTTTATTAATCATTAAACAAAATGGATTTGAAAGTAAAATGTCAACTGCTTCTCAATAATACTCGAGTTTAGACTATACATAGAGACAGTAGTAATGTTTTTGACAGAGTTGACCGTACAGTTCCAAGATACTGATGCATCAAATAGTTATAGCAAAGAATTGGTCTAGTGATGCTCTTTATGACATATTATTATAGAAAACAAATAAATAAAATTTATTTAGGATGTATTTAATATTTAAGAATTTATATTCGGTGTTCCCCAAGGTTCTTATTTGGGACCGACATTGATCTAAATTTCAAACAAATTTCGTAACATTAAAAATAGTTCTATAACTATTTTTAATGTTACGAAATTTGTTTGCAATTTTTTTATGGTATGGAGCAGTGATTCAGAGTGTTCGATATCGACCCCTTGGGGTCGAAATCGGTTTTCCTGGGGTTGACATAAACGAAAAATAATTTTGGGGGTCGCCGGGGTCAAAAAATTGACCCCTTTTAATTAACACAAGTTTTTATTTCAATTAATTTCAAGCTTTCAAGATACTGTATTAGTTGTGTTACATGTACCAACTTGTTTTAAGAATGACTAATGTTTAAGTAGGAAGTCTCATTGTTGTACTTTAAACAAATTCAACAAGATAAAAAAACCTTACAACCTTTAAAAACATCATGTGTTTTCTATAAAACACATGATGTTTTTAAAGGTTGTAAGGTTTTTTTTGTAGATCAATGTGAATTAAATAATGTTATGAATCTAAGAGAATCGAAAGGCAGTTGAACATAAACAAACCTGTAAGAACTCTCCCATCTGCTCTTTGATGTCCTGCTGCGTGGTGGGCAATTGAATATCTTTCTTTAGTGTGGCTATCCTAAGTTCTAATGTCTTAATTTCATTGTGCAGCTGCTCAACGCTGACTTTGGCTGCCTCTTCCAGAACACGGGTGTCGTCCGCGAAGTGAATGAGCTCTTTATTCTTGCGTTCAGCTTGCTATTATTGGAGACAAAAGATTACATCATAATATTTTTCAATTAATGAAAAAAATACTGTATGAGAAAATCACAACACACACTAAAAATAGAATCAGAGGATACAAAAAAAGGCATCCATCACAAATACACCGTTTTTTAGTGTCATGAATGTAGCGAATTCGTGAGAACTTGGAAAAACTCGTAGAAGACAAAAAATCTTTAATCAAAATCATAATTAAGTATATCAAAGATATGTATTAATTAAATTACATCGACCTGTTTTAAGTATGTTGCGGATTCAAGTTAGTTAATACAATGATAAAGGAATCTTACCAGAGCTACATAATGAATTAGAGTAACCCCAGGTTTGTTGGCGCGAATGTCCGGCAACTTCTGTAGGGAGGCGAGTCTGACGCCGGCTGCGCCACCCGCGTAACCACCCGCGTTGAGAAAGTTACCAGCTATTAGTGCGATGTAAAGCACCTCCTGTAATACATCGTAGGTTAGTGCCGTAATAGTACCAGTAGTAGTGCCAATTTAAAATCAAGCAGTCTATATAATAAAGATAGTTCTGAAAATGTATTACCAGTTCTTCAAATAGTTCAATTTAGGGGAAAATGTCTTATTTACACTTATTTTAATGCGAGGGCTTGGATAGACTAATATTTGTTACAAAACTACTGAATGGATTTAGATGGAATTTGACATCGAGATAGATCATAATCTGGAATAGCACATGGTCTACCTTTTACCCTAGTTGCTATTAGTTGCTAAAATTTGAACAACTCTTAAAACATCAAAATCTGTGTTTTTAAGTATGTATCTGATAGACTTGACCAAGATGACGTTTCTTTTCCACTTTTAACAATTACCTGCAATGCTCTAGAAGACATGAGGTCATCTCCAGCCACGAGGATAGCGTTGATGGCACTCTCCAAGTATCCTGACGTTGAAGCCCACTCTTCCTTTAACAGCATGCACTCAATGCGGAGTTTGTAACTGTTCGACAATAAAACAATCTCTGATAAAGTAATTAAGGATATTCTACATAGCTGGATGGATGCCGACTGCCCAAGACCGGGATAATTGGCGCTCCTGGGGAGTGGCCTTCGTTCAGCAGTGGATGACGATAGGCTTATGATGATTACAGCCAATTATTGCACATTGATAAAAAGGCCATGTGAAAACATTGGTCGTTAATCTTGGGATTTAAGAGCATCTGTCAAAACTATTTAACGTCCGATAGCGCGATTATTATGTTTTCAAATGCAAAATATCTTTTATTTCATAAAAAACATTAAAGTGGTCTTAGACTCTAAAGTCATAAATCGACACACACATCACAAAATGTAGTCGATCCTTTATGTCACATCAACAGCCTTTATAGTCCACTGCTGGACATAGGCATCATACCACGCTGACCTAAAAGTACTTACTTAGGCAACTGTATTAGTTGGAGCAGGAACTTCTCAGCTGTGCCTAGCTTCGTGACGTCACCAGAGAAGGCCTTCAACATCTCACATTCGTCTATCTCTGGTAGTATTTTGAGAAGACCCCTCAGCTTCTCCGTGCCGATGTCGTCATGGCTACCCTCGCGGATTAACTGGATGATGTCTTCGTTTGAACTGGAAATAATTGTGCAATATGATCAACCAGCTTTGAAGTTTCAGCACTAATATGGTGTATAGCTTTTATATAATATAAAAAGTTACTTCAATGGCAATCAACGATGACAAATATTTTTTTCCTTTCGAAAAGATAAAAAGCAAAATCTTATCCAAATAACAAGTTTGATCGAAATCGTTGAAGCCATTCCTGAAATAAACGAAATAAATATATATATATATATATATATACTCGTAACAATGAAGGACAAACAGTCTTAGATTTTAGTTTAGCAGCGCTAAACGCCGATATGGAAGGTCGATTGTGCCCTTGATATTTGATCTGAACCATATTTTTACAATTAATAAGTTTTCTTACCTGCGGAATTGTTTCAAGAATATGTTAACATTGAGACTTCTCTTGCCGTCTAAGAGTGAGATCTCCGAGGACTCTTTCCTAGGCTTCCTTTCTCCTGAACTATCGCATATAGGGCTTCGGCCTAGTCGTGGTGATGACCCGGCGGATCCTGTAGGCTGTATCTAGGAAAAACACCGAAACAACTTTATAACTGACAATTCCTGGATGATAAATTCTCTGGTAGAAGTATTTCTAGCACACTTACCTGTTGACAAAAGAGACCTTCGATCTCACTCCAGTCCAAGTCAGCTTTGGGTGAATGTTTATGACTGGATGCTACTAGTGACCAGATATTATTTTGTCCAATAACCTGAAAATAAAATTATTTATTCCATTAAGTAAGGAATTACAACAGTTTCGAGAGGTCGTTCCTCCAGTGCAGGTAAAAGACTCTTTGAACTTTTTTTTTCTGTAATAAGAAGTATCATCATCAGCCTCTCGCAGTCCACCGCTGGACATAGGCCTCTCCCATTTATAAGTATATCGAATGAAAATAATGACCAGTTGTTGTTTTTTTGTAAATACTTGGCATTAATCGGCCTGCCACAAAAGAAATGACCTAAAACCATTTGTATAATATGTTACATAATTGCGAAGGCCAAAAATGAAAATTAGAAAAAGAGGCGAATCATCAGGGCAGGGAAATTCAGTATCGATAAAGTAGAGAAAAACCAGTGACCAGAATTAAAAAAACATAAAGTATAGCACATTTGTTAAGATAATTCAGGGGGCAAACTAGTGCATTCCTTTTGCCAAGACTTCGAGAAGATCATAAGTAAATAGATAAAGAAATCTGCTATTCTTTTTGTTTTAATGGGAAAGGTAACACTCACCTTATTATTAGGAATTTTGTTCCAGTTTATAGTCTTCATTTTTGTTTTGGGTATAGGTGTCTCCTGCTGCGGCAGCTTCACGTCGATTACTGGAGCTGGTGGGGCGGGGCAAGTTGCTGACGGGGGCGGTGGGACGGGGGGAGGAGGAGGACCACACGGTGGCGGAGGGGGTAACATTGGAGCTGGCGGTGGGGGGATACCTGCAAAATTGATGTTTCGAATCAGATAGACCCAAAATTTAAGTACTGAACTGAAATAAGTGAATGAACGAATGAAGGCAAAATTATTATTATATAAAGACTTACCTGCTGGTGGTGCCATGACAGGCGGTGGGGGTGGAGGAGGTGGCGATAAGGCTCGCTGCAGACTTTGCTTCCTCGCACCACTAGATAAATCTCTGTGTTGACATGTGCAGCCGACCTTGGCCTGGTGGACAATAGAACTGATGTTACATCCGAGTAAGAGAAAGAGACGAAAAGCCACTGGTAAAGTTTAGTGGCTTGAATGGCATCAATGAGCAACATTTAAAACGTCGAGATGTGTGAGATCAATAACTAAATAGGACTGCTATTTGTCTTTAGTGGGAATTTTAAATAAATAATTATAACGGGGTATTCTCTTGTGGTCCCAGAATCGGGTGGGTAGTAAAAATGGATTTTGTCGGGGATCGGGGACAAATTAAAAATAATAATGCTGAGTCAGCATATACAACCGTATGAAAAGGTGGCAAAACATATGTCCGTCTTTTTCAATTTTATACTGCTGAACCATGTAGGTACCTGTACACTAGGAGCTCTGAGTAGCTTCGCAGCATCTTCCCTGCTCTCTAATAAAGTAGCACGATGGACCAATGTTTCTGCTGTGTCCCAAACAATGTCACTCACTGGCTCCTTCGGATCTATCTTCAGCAGATGCTGCAAGATGCTCAGGAATGGGATCTCTTGTGGTGTCTCAGCTACCTACGATTGAGGAACATTATTTATTACTCTGCTATCAAAAGAGACCCTAGAGATTATTCTTTACAGATGTTTTGTTTGTCATTATGAAGTGAACTACAATTTAAAAGAAATGAAAGCGTTGGGATACTGTTTCTTCAATTATCATCAAATTTTGCATATATGGTGCAGGGAATATAAAGAAGATATTAATTCAGACAAAGAATTGTCGCGAGAAATGGAAAAAAAGCATTTACGTAGGCGAAGTCACGGGTAAAGGCAGTATTACACATGAATAATTATCATCCTCATCATCAACAGCCTTTAATAGTCAACTGCTGGACTTAGGCCTCTACCTAGAAAGGAGGTTTTGGCCTACTATACCACGCTGGCCAGACGGGTTGGTATAGGGTTTGTTTCAAGTTTTCCTTCTGTTCGCAGTGTTGTTGTCGTGCGTAATTTGCTCCCTCAGTCGGTTCTTACGACACCCATAGGATGAAAAGGGGTGGTGATACTCCGTATTCTTACTCCGTCACCACACGGAGGATAATTATAAATAATAATCATATTATTTAAATGATAATTTTATTTTTATTTTTTGAAAGGTCTACTAGCAACCGAAATTATCCGTATCCGTATCAGTATCCCCGTTAACCCCTCCCGCTAAGCTAAATTGCTTGTGTTGGGAGTGGGTTCACGTCGGTAGTATACTCGTCAGCCATTGAACCCACGACCTCTTGATCGCAAGTCCAACGCCTTAACCACTAGGCTTGCCGCTTATTACTTTACTAATTTGTACCTGGTTTAGCTGTTAATTTTCTCTTAATTAAAAATCATCGTAGTTCATCACTACGTATAACCATTAACAATAAATATTTTATATTATGAGTCTGTTCATCAAACACGATTTCCACTCTATTAAATCAAACATTTGTGTGCATGAACATTTGATATTTGATTTGGTCTGGGTGGTTCTATGTATAATATGTATGTATTTACAAAAAAAAAGTATATATGTATTTATATCAGTTGTCTAGTACCCATAGTACAAGCTCTGCTTAGTTTGGGACTAGATGGCGTTGTGTGTATATGGTAGAATATATTATATTATTATTATTATTATCTTAATCCTAATGAAGATGATATGAACGTGTTTCAATTCACCCATCCGGTCGTTGACTGGTGTTGCGATCTAGTTTTTATTCACATGAAATATATAAATTGTATTTGTCTGTAAGCGTAGGTATCATAAAGGACGACTTGACTAATCCGGCCATTTTTAATACGCTTTTATTAGCTTTTGTAAATAAAACAATGCGAAACATCATTTTAAACCTACTGCTAATTTTCAAGAGGAAATGAAACTTAATTGCTTAATTTGTATCTTTGGATGATATTTCTATTATTACGGCATCTGATGATGAATCTAGGAAGTGGATAGTGGAGTTCTTCATTGGCTTTTAGTACACTCTTCGAATTCAAGCTCATAGTTAAACGAGTCCATCAGATCATATCATCATCATATCAACAGCCTTTACTAGTCCACTGCAGAACATAGGCCTCTCCTTAGAAAGGAGGTTTTGGCCTACTATACCACGCTGGCCAGACGGGTTGGTATAGGGTTTGTTTCAAGTTTTCCTTCTCTCTGCAGTGCTGTTGTCCTGCGTGATTTCTCCCTTAGTCGCCTCTTACGACACCCACGGGATGAATAGGGGTGGTGACACTCTGTATTCTTAATCCGTCACCACACGGACAGGTCCATCAGATAGTGAACCCTTTTTTACACGCTTTCATATATTTCTATTTATCATATGTTTTACGATAGCATTTTTGAAGTATATATGCTATGCTTTAACTAAGTGCGGTATCGTGTGTTTGCTTGTTTATATAATAACTCAAAACAATAATAATAATAAAAAAAAGACAAACATGTTGCATGCTGCATTCTTGCTTACATGCTGCATGTTTGCTAGCTTTATTATTATGGTAAGAAATACAACTTGATAGATAGATAGTCTTTCAATGATTATAAACAATAATATATAATATAATATAATAATATAATATTGTACCACATTCACACAACGCTATTTAGTCCCAAACTAAGCAGAGCTTGTACTATGGGTACTAGATAACTGATATAAATACATATATACTTTTTTTTTTGTGAATACATACTTATTATACATAGAAACACCCAGACCAAATCAAACATTAAATGTTCATACACACAAATGTTTGACTTGAGCGGGAATCGAACCCACAACCTTTGGAATAGCAGTCCGTTACACAAACCACTACGCCATTCGGTCGCCAATATTAAAAAAACGTACCTGTTTGAGGATAGCGTAGAACACATCCAGATGCGAGTTAAGGTTGATTCCTCCAGGACCTTGGGCTTCGTCACTCTCCCTCTGCTCTTCGAACACGTCAAGTTGGACACCCAAGTCGGGCTGGCTGGCTGCTTCATGTCTGAGGAATAATTGTTTAACGTGACTACTGAAGTATTGGCAAAAGTTGAAGACTTGCACAGCTTTAACGGCAGAGCTTATTTGACAGACTTTAGACAGACGTGGAGGCAAGTTAGGTCAAAGATAAGACCTTACCGAAGACCCTGGTGACTCATCTACAGGTACTCAGATTTCTACACGTGAAAATAAGCTGTAGAGTTCGAATGCATAAATAATCTTCGAATGCTCAGAATAATAATAAAATGGAAGGAGTATTTTACTAGAAGTAGATTTTTAATATAACTTTATTTTGTCTGTATGTTTTAAAAGTGAAAATACTTTACATTCAGTGGTATAACATCCTCAATACAATACACATTTGTCTAAATATAAGTCACTTTGAGACTTATTAAACTGCTATTAAAGCCTTTTAATTACAAATGGCATACCCTCTTTCCTTTATAGGTATTATTTACTAGCTGGTACCTGCGACTGGGCAAAATTTTAAAGGGTTTTTCTGAGAGGAAAAATAGGCGAAGTTATTCCTTATGAAGACAGCTATCTGGTAGAAGATTACCCGAAACAAACAGACATACAGACAAAAAAAGTTAACTGGTTTTTAGGCATAGGTATCGTACAAATGACCGTGTGAGCATGAAAAAAACCTATAATTTTGACATTACAAACAGACACTTTAAATTTATTTATTTGTATAAATAAGTACTGACCCGCGCAACTTCGTTTAAATCTCTCAAAAGGAATACATTTTCGCAGTTTTTGCTCGGCTCCCAATGGTCGTAGCGTGATGTTATATAGCCTACAGCCAACCTCAATAAACGGGGTATCTAACATTAAAAGGTTTTTTTAATTCGAACCAGTAGTTCCTGAGATTAGCGCGTTTGACCAAACAAACTCTTTGGCTTTATATTATTATAATATAGAAGTATAACATAATACAAACATATATACAAAATAATTTTAGTAATTTGTTACTGTACTACCGTTTATTTAATTGACCAGTCTTTGGACAGCTGAGTAAAGAACGAATATGGAGTGCAGGGATAAATTCGCATGGATAGTTTTATTCAGGAGTTATAGCGGTGATGGATAATTTCAATATTAGTTTCAATCGCCACCCCGAAAGGCTGGCCCATTGAGGCCCAGGGCCTCAATTCTGTTATTTTATGTCAAAGCCAAACCACTGTCATTCCATTGACACACTATTGAGATGACATTAAAATGCCACTGCAATAACATTGCAATATCATGAAAATTAAATATATCATTTTTGTACAAATTTAAAATGTACCGTTTACCAAAGTATTACAAAGACATCGACGATATTTGTATTAGTGACAAGTCATCGGGGGCCATTGGTTTTACATTAGTTTTATATTCCGACGACATTCCATCGACAGTCTATTGATACAATATTAAAATACCAGAATTCAGGCCCAGGGCTTTGCAGGGGCCTCGCAAACTAACTAGCGCACGTGCAACAAGCTACTCGCACTAGATCTACGTTCAGGGAATCCCCGTGTTTCATTCCGCCTGTCATTTTGACAGGCTACCTGTGTCTACTGTCGTCGTCGCTTTTATGTTCGACCAGCATTATGTGTTGAATTGCATTTTTTGTTCCAAGAATCACCATTAAAACTAATTCCACAAAGACAAGGACCTCGCAATGATCCACCGGCCTCGCTATGGCTAAGGCCGCCACCGGTTTTAGTATAATCTCTAATCTTCTGCAAGATTAAGCGGTTTAACCTCCTTTGGAGTGGTCGCGGTTGGATGGTACAGGTTTATGCTATTCCACACCCTGCTGAGGAGTTTCCACAGAGAGTTCCCTGCTATTCAGTCAAACTCAAACTTAAAATACCTTTATTTCTTAAAAAAATCGTTTGAAATAGTCTTTTATTTAGACTCTAAAGTCGTAGATCAACACACACACAATAGCAACAATCTCTGTTTTGTCAAATAGCAAAATTTAATAAAATAATGAATCAACAACTAATTGTGGTATGAATTCGACTAATATATTACGAATGTAGTAATATTTGTAGCTACGATATATATTTATAGTTTTTCTTTGTATAATATTATCATAATTCTTGCATAAATGTTACAGTGTCCACTTGGAAACCGGTTCCGAGGAGTTAGTCATATTTTACGTTCTTGCTAATATTTTAACGAGTGTTCAGAGTGGTTAACCGGCCATATTTGGTGCGGGCCAAGCGATGCGCCCACGCACCCTCTCCTAACGTTTTCCTACTAAGAACACAGAAACACTGTGTTGGTTTTAATTATTAAAAAGGTTTGCGAGCGTGTAGGATTTTTTCGGGTTTAGAGACTGCCCTTCTGGAATATTAGCTTCACTTCTTATTAAAGACACTTTTTGAGTGATTTCCAAAAGAAAAAAATTCAGTACCGACTTATGAAAATATTCCAAGGCGGATTTATGAATCATATTATTGTTAAGCAAACGAAACTCTTCGTGAGTACAAGCCAATATTAGACGTTGGTGTGTTTTTTTTTTATTTGATTGCATCTTTTATCATCTTCACCAGGATTAATACCAAAGTTCGGCACATATGATTGCTATACAGCGGTCTTCAGCCTTACAGAAAACAATTATTAAGCAATTCTTTTGTTGGTTGGCACTGAGTAAAACCCCCTCTCCCTAATTCCTAATGATGGATGGATGGACTCAAAGGATGGCAATGCCTTGGTTGCAAGAGTCCATGTCTTATCATCAGGTGACCGTGACCCGTTTGCTCGTTGTTATTGTCCCACATCAAAAATACTAGCATATGTAGGTATAACAATTACTAGTAATCTGAATAAGAGTCTGAAATAGTCATGTTATTGTATATTAATGTTGACATCCGTGTGGTGATGGAATAAGAATTCGGAATGTCAAACCCCCTATTCAACCCGTGGGTGTCGTAAGAGCCGACTTAACTACGCAGAACAACAGCACTGCAGAGAGAAGGAAAACTTGAAACAAACCCTATACCAACCCGTCTGGCCAGCGTTGTATAGTAGGCCAAATCTCTTTCCTAAGGAGAGGCCCAGTGGACATGAATCCGACAGTGGACTATTTAAGGCTGTTGTTGATGATGATGTTGATATTATTAAGACATCGTTTTTTTTAAAGACAACTTCCGCTTTAAGAATATGTCCTGTGTCGCGGTGGACTTTACAAACATATATAAAACAGACACTAAGAACACCCAGACTCAGAACGATAATTTGTGGATCACACAAAGTGTCGTCCCATGTGGGGATCCCAAGCGGCGTGGCGACTGCTTACACCCCTACGCGCCATCTGTGCAGTCGATTTTGTTTCAGATTGTATATAATATATTCATTTAAAGTAGATACTTTTGTATCAGCCAGACACAGTGTTTAACAGTGCCTTTCCATTACAATAACACATTACAAAATCGAGCCAGTTTTTGCTCGTATATTCGTGATTAATTCCAGTTAATAACTTTATTATGACCTGTTTTTCGGTGCTAATTTATTTTATATACCTGACACTCGTAAATACATCGAGCGTTAATATTTAATTGGCCAATTCAGTTCTACGTGATGACCGTTTAAAAAGATATAAAAGTTTTATTAATGGCGCAATTGTAGACATATTTATTCTTGTTTAAAGATACTACATTAAAAATAATTGAATTGGGCACTTCTTCTAACATGAAATGTCATAGTGAAATAATGATTAAAAAATCTAATTATCCTATTTTACACGCTTTATATTAGCTTCACTTGTATGTTTGTATGTTTGTTTGTAACCGACTCCTTTGGGCGTGATTTTGACTGACTTCAAACGGTCAGAATTCGTTCAAACTTTGTAGATATATCGAGGACCGATGACAACACACTAATTAAAAAAAATTATAAAAAAAAAATAGTTTTAAAAGCTAAAAAACACGCTTTTTATAGAAAACCAAACTAAAAAATAGAAAATAAATTTTAGTAAATTTGAAAAAAAGCGTTGGGTGCCTGTCGTCAATAGTAAAAAGCACCCCAATAAAAAAACAACTGTCGCGTCAAAAATAAAATACAGTCGCCATTTTTATTTTATAACTTATAGCAGTGTTACTCGAGATGTTGTAAAGATTCTAACGACACCCCATACATCCAAGCCTGTTTAGACATTTAGAAGTTATGACAAAACAAATAAAGTCACATACCTATATGTATATATATATATATATGAACCTACAAAATATAACACTATTAACATACATAACAAACGCGGTTCAATTATGGTGTTTTCAAAAGAAAAAATCGATACCCGCAATAATAAATATGCTGTTAAAGGACCGTCTTTATTACGAGTGGAAACCCTCTCGGGCCGTCACCCCACCGGTGTTTGCTGTTACGCGGTGTGTTGGATCGAACCGACTAAAACCACACGGTGTGTCACGTTGCGCCTTGATTATGAGGGATCCGGCAACAGCGCTTATTAAGACATTCCGGGTAAAAAACCCGCCTACTACTATCCGTCTCGACCGGAGTGTAAAGCAATTCAATTGTTCCTTTTAAAAGAGTGACTAAGGTTAGTTAGGTGTCTTTTTGACGTGACAACGTCTTATAATTCGATGGAGCCGGCTGCACGCACGAAAAAACATGACTCATGCGGCGTTACCTCGCTCTGAGGCGTTCCATTTAAGGCGTGAAGTGCAAGCGAGAGCGCGGAACGAACGACAAAGAGGCACAATCGGCCTCCGCGTTCGGCATCGTTCGACATTTGTCTTTCTCCTACTTGAGTGAGCGATGCGTCCGCGTGGACAGCTGCTACTCGTATACAATAATACATTTTTGAAAAATGCAACCATTCCATCAGTATTTTCTTATGACGTTGTCACGTTCAACTATCGTCAGTAAACCGACTTTACAGACAACCGATTTTTTTTATTTGGGATTTGTTAATTAAAAAAATGATTTAAAATGTAGACTTTTAAAGACCGCACTAGGAATTATTGCGCTATTGTGTGTGTGTTGATCTACGACTTTAGAGTCTACATAAAAGACAATTTCAAACAATTAAAAAAAAATCAAACAAAAAAATAATTGCCACGAGAATTGACCCTTGCTATATTTAAAAAGACAACTCCCGCATTAGGAATATTTCCTGTGTCGCGGGGCACTTTACAAACATACATTAAACGAACACAAAGAACATCCAGACTCAGAACAACAATTTGTGAATGACACAAAGTGTTGTCCCATGTGGGGATCGGACCCATAACACTCAGCGCAGTAGGAAGCGGCGAGGTGACCGTTTAAACCACTACGCCATCCGTGCAGTCATTTATAAATAAAAAGGTCCTCAACATAGGTTTGTATCTCAACTACAAGCATCGGCCATCGCAATAAAATACGATAGTTTACATTTAAAAGTTGTTACACGTACTACATTAGGTCCTGTCAGTTAGGACTAAGGTATACATACACCAGATGTCTGCGTCTCTAAAAAGGAATCAATTTTCCCTGTTTTTGCAACATTTTTTTATTAATCGCTCGGCTCCTATTGGTGGTAGTGTGATGTTAAATAGGCCAAAGCCTTCCTCGATAAATGGGTTTCAGCTTTATAATATTAGTGTAAATCAAATTCGTTAAAAATCGGTTACAACAAAAAAAGTCTCGCTACTGTACTGCTCTAACATTCAATTTCCGGTACATTAAGAAAATTAGTCAATTCTAAAAAAATAATACATACATCATTATTTTATTACTAAATAAAGATATTAACTAAATAAAAACTTAATAGTCTTACTATTTTTTGTTGGAGTTTCAATTACTATGCTCAATCAACCGGAGCGGGCGCAGACGGAAAAAGAACCGGTCAAGTGGGAGTCGGACAAGCGTACAAAGGATATTTCAACTACATTATATATATAATTGCTTTTATTATATATATCACTCTTTTAAATATTTGTATAAAATGTGGAATATAGTAATCAAATATTGTTATAATAATTATTTATTATAATATATTGTAAATTGAAATCTTCAAAAACATTAATATATCCTGACACAGATACGATCGCTTCACAACTGATAAAGAGCCACTGCCAGACTCTCTGAATCCAACCTTTCTTAATAAATCTTCTCTTTGTTCTTTCTTTTTTTCTCTTCTTAAATCTTTAATAAATATTTTTTTTACTCGATAATTTGTTGTCTTTTCTACTTGTTTCTACTCTCAGACACAAACAAACAGCTGCACTCTTTTTTCGGTCGGGGGTTAAAATACACTTCTACTCTTTAGGTTCCTTATTTTCATTAGTAAAAGCATCTCGTTTATTTGAATACAGGTTTTAAAGCATTCTGTTTTTTATTTCACGACTTTATGTAGAAAAAATAAAACACCAATTGCGATAGGAATGTCATTCTTTGTGATATTTCATTGCGGAACCCTAAAAGCTTCGTCAGGCTGATATATAATTTATTATGTTATTAGTACACACGCCGGCTTATAATTTATAGTTAGCCAACTTGGTAATAAATGTAGGAGATATATTTATATTTGGTTGTTTGGTTTGTTGACCTGTCTGTGTTTGTGACAAGGAGACAGATCAGATTTCTGGTCAAGTGTGACCGTAACAATATAAAACAGAAGAGTTTTGTTGAAGGCGCTTATCTCAGGAACTAGTAGTTCGATTTGACAATTTTTTTTGTGTTGGACAGCCTATTTATCGAGGAACGTTAAAGCCAGAATAGACTATAGCATCACGCTGAGACCAATAGGAGCCGTTGGACCGTAGGACCAGGAGGAGTTGCAAAAACATGGTAATTTTATTTCTTCTCTGAGACGCAGACATATTCAGCTAGTATATTATACAAACGTTTGGATTACTTCTTCTTCAAAACATTTACTTCTGATAAATTTAGTTGCGGGTTCAAAGACATTTTAACTCTTACTGGGACTTCCCGATCCCGTTGTTGATCCTGGTGTATAGGAGTTAACGTAGTGTGCGTGTGGGTGGAATCAGTCACATAAAAAAAAAACATAGTGGTTTTGGAATAACTGATTATTAAAAAAAAACTGTTTAATTTTTTTATTGAACAAGTTTTTTCACCTATCTATTATACCTAAGTAAATATATTTTTAGAATAAATATGAAATTATATAATAATAATAATAACCTCACACATCTCACACATATAGATAAGGGCCAAGAAAACAAAAATATTTCCTTACATAGACATGTTTAAAGAGAGGTCGAACAAGATTTGGAATGGATTGTCGTCTTTTAGTTTCAGTACAGCTTATGGGATCCACATATAATAATAACCTCACACATCTCACACACGGCCGTCTGATCCCAAACTAGGCAGAGCCTGTACTATGGTAACCAGACTGCTGATAAACATACTTGTATATTTTTAAATACATACATATTATAGATAAATTACACCCAGACACATAACAAATGACCGTGCTCATCACACAATATTTGTCCTGGGTGGGAATCGAACCCACGACCTCCCGGCTTAGTAGTCAGGGCCGTTAACCACTAGTGGTTAGTGGCCCTGACTGCTAAGCTTGTCAAGCTTGCTAAGTTGGTCTAGCCAACAGACCCGTCCTAAAATATAAAAGCTAAGTCCTAATAAAAGTTTTATTGGAAATAATAGTCGTGTTGTGTGTTCTTACCTCAAATTGTTCAATGTTGGCAAGAGACCCAGTCCTGGAAATAAATACAAAAGCGTTATGAAAACGTTACAAATTTACGTTCTTGGTGTAAGAGTCCTGCTCAGCACAGATGGACCGGCTCGAAAATGATAGCACGGTATCACAGGCAAATTTTGTTAGCAATTTTTTGTTACTTTTCACAGAGTGAGTGATGTAAGAAACCCAACCAAACCCTCCAGCGTTAGTAAAAACTTGGAGCTTGTGGACGTTTGCCAAGCCTCGGCAAGCGTGTAAACTAGGCATTTGAGTTGCACCTATGGGCGGTAGAAGTCACTTACCATCAGGTGACCAGTCCACTCCTTTGCCCTCCCCCCCCCCCCCCCTCCCCCAAGTATATGCTATATGCGATTATCCTTTTATTCATCTCTGATTACAGAATTGGGAAATTCGCCACTTACCTATAAACTCATTTCTAACCCGTATCCTGTCAGGTAAGCGTGGTGCGGAGATGATGAGACAGTTGATGAACGCAACCAAGGCCGTCTTGTAATCCGTGGTGGTGGCATTCTTCAGTTCTTCGACTACCACGGTCAAGCGATATCTCTCACCCTTCAGGGTCTGGAGAAGAAAAGCAATAATCAGAAATATGATTAGAAACTTCAGGTGAGAAGAATATGTACTGGATATAATGTACTTGGCAACGGGCGGTTGTAGATCGGCACAGGCATATCATAGATTTTGTATAAGTATAATTTTTGATAAATTTATATCGCTAATTATTTTACAAAACAGAGATTGTTGCTATTGTGTGTGTGTTGATCTATGACTTTAGAGTCTACATAAAAGACAATTTCAAACAATTAAAAAAAAAACAAACAAAAAATAAATTGCTACGAGAATTGACCCTTGCTTTATTTAAAAAGACAACTCCCTCATTAGGAATATATCCTGTGTCGCGGGGGACTTTACAAACATACGAGTACATGAAACGGACACAAAGAACATCCAGACTCAGAACAACAGTTTGTGAATCACACAAAGTGTCGTCCCATGTGGGGATTGAACCCACAACACTCGGCGTAGTACACACAACACTACGCCATCCGTGCAGTCAATTGAATTTCATTTTCTACTCTACTTTCTTTACTGTTGCCAGACTTTCAAAATACTTTAAATTTTACTTTGTCCAATCCCAAGTGTTGTGTCACCCCCTTATTTTCAGGATTGCAATCTTTCTATATTTTAAGAAAATACTATCGAAATCTTTTAACAAATAAGATAAGAACTGGCTAAGTCCGTGTGGTGATGGATTAAGAATACAGAGTGTCACCACCCCTATTCATCCCGTGGGTGTCGTAAGAGCCGACTAAGGGAGCAAACTACGCGGGACAACTGCAGAGAGAAGGATAACTTGACACAAACCCTATACCAACCCGTCTGGAAAGCGTGGTGTAGTAGGCCAAAACCTTCTGTTTAAGAAGAGGCCTATGTCCAGCAGTTGACTATTAAAGGTTGATGTGTATTAACTGTTGATGTGATGATGACGTGGCGAATTTATAAATGTGTAATATATATTTATTGTGTAACTAAAATATGTAGAATTACCTTGTATCGCTCTAACGTGTCGACCGCTCTGGCGTAGCCATCAGCGTTGTACACGCACAGCGCTGACAGAAGCTCGAACACCTGCACGAAAATAGAATAATGGATTAAAAGAAGAAAAACTTGGTAACATCGTGTCACGACCAGTGTAGGGTTCCGTAGTTTACTTAACAAGTCACAACTTGATCTATTTTTTTCAGTGGCTTTAGCTTTTTGTACAAAATATGTGACCATACATTGTCCGTGTGGGGACGAATTAAGAATACGGAGTGTCACCATGGGTGTCGTAAAAGCAGACTAAGGGAACCAACTCTGCAGAACAAAAGGGAAGGAAAACATAAAACAAATCCTATACCAACCCGTCTTACTAAGAGACGCAGGCGGTAAACTGACTGTAAGCGACTCCAGCATTAGGGGGAGGGCGGGGGGGTTAGCTTTGGCCGTTTATCTTGTAGATACTGCTCTTAGATACTTAATGCTTTTTATAATTTAAACATAATCCATAAACCCATAGTGTTGTTGACGATTACCTGCTTCTTGACAGGTGGTGCTGGCGAGGTGAGGGCGGCGGCGAGCTTGCCCGTGTATTCAGCATGTTCCACGATGTAGTCCAAGCCAACGCGGCTCTCCATCGCCGAGCTGGTGGCAAAAATATATATTTTAATTGCGTTTGTTCTAACAAAATTACAAAGGAAATACAGAAGGGGATTACTCCGGGCATCTCTAAAAAACTGGGTTTTCAAAATTAAATAGGTTTTGTATATTATGTGTATTTGATATATTATTTAGTTTATATACTTATTACAAAACTAATTTTAACCAAAAAGGAGCTTCTTCCTATGTTTTCTGTATCACCAAATAACTATTATAAATAAATAAAAAGCAAAAATCTTTTTTAAAATAAGTTTTTTTTAACTCCGAACCTGTTTCCTAAACTAGGTTATAATGTAATATATAAATAAACATAGATATACACAAAATAAATCGCACATAATATTTGACCTGTGTTGGAATCAAACCCCTAACTCTGGCTTAGCAGTTAGCATCGCTAACCACTAGAACAGACCCGTCCAAAAAATATCCTAAAAAGTATGAACAAATCTTAAATAAATTAAAAACACTTAATAAAATTAAAAGAGGCGCCAGTTACAGGCTCAATTTGCATTTTGTTAATTGTGCAGTAGGTCAAATAAGGTCGAACGCCTAATCTGACTATCAAACTGTTGCCGAATCGTAAAACCAATTAGATTTTATGAGCAAATTGCGCTCGGAATTACTTGTTTGATTACGTGGGAACTCAACTTACACAGATTACATATAGTTTAACTTAAAGCCATAAATACTAGTTCGGCGGAACCATAAAAAGCTTCGTGGTATGTACTTTTCTAATGAGTTTTCTCTTTGGTCATTTGAAAAAAATATTACGTAATTTAAAAAGTTTGTGTTCTTATTTCAAACTTTGAAATAACTTTCAAACATTTCAGACTTTAAAAATAAATAGTTATATTTTAGTCTGCCTCACTACTTTTTTTTTTGTAGCAATTTTTTTTAAACTAAGATTTTACACTACTCCAAATTGGCGATAAATCATACTAGCGTATAAAGGAACGTTACTGAATAGCCCGACACTGACTATGTCAGTGACTCCTAAAATACATCCGTATACATAACTTCTACCATGACAAATACGAGTATTCATCATGAAAACCTTCATACCTGTAGCCCCACTTTATTTGGAGTAGGCGCAAGATGAAATAATGCAAAGTATATTGGGTGATTTCTTTTATCACCTACCACCTCTTTGACACCAACCCTCCCTTAGAATGTAATCATTTTCTGTTGTTGTTGTTCTGAGTCTGGGTGTTATTTGTGTCCGTTTCATATATGTTTGTAACGTCCCCCGCGATACAGGATGTATTCCTAATGCGGGAGTTGTCTTTTTAAAATAAAAACAAACAAAAAAAAACCTTCATACTCCTTCTTGTTTCTCATACGCACCTTGTTTTATCTGACAAACATTTAAAACATAAAACGTCATGTGAGATGAAACAAAATAATAACGCTAACGTACGTGGATTCGTTTTAAATAATATTATTGTGGTTGCACTAACTAGCTTATATGTACATAAACAATCTAACGCTATCATACTAGTTTCGCATTTGTTTCATCTTGTACATTTTTGTTAGTTAGTCCAAATCATCTACAAAGTACTTAAACATGCAAAATAATGCAGATTGGTAAGTGCTAGTTGCAACATTACCGTGAAATGGAATGTAAATTATGTGTATGTACCCCGGGGCTTCGTTTGCAATGTTGGGTAAGTTATTTTATGAATATCTTTTAGATAACGTGTTTTTATAATAGCATAATTTAGACAAGGTTTTTTAATAGAACTGCTTTTAACTATTGTAGGGGTATTTTTGTTTCGTGTCACACTTCTAGCCTAAGCCAAAATCTACTTAAATGCTTTGTTACTATTATTTCTTCTCTATGATGCTTAAAGATTATCGGCGAGTAGTTTAGGAGTAACAAACAAACAAAAAATACAAACACGCTTTTGCAGTTAACATTACTTCTCCTACATATAAATGTGTATACTGAGGATGAACGACTGATTCCAGACCCTACTCCTTGATTAAGTACGGTGCCAGACGTCAGAAGTCTTCCACGAGCTATACCATTACCACCATCGAAAGTTTTTATCCCAATATTCCTAAAAATACAATATCATACACGGGAAACTGTGATTGGGTCAATAAACCATTACATTTTAGCCTGTAGATGTGAATATTAAACATTCAAGAAGGTTTTAACATGAAGCCCGTATGTTGTTGAAGTCGTCAACCTATTGATCACCGTGTTAAACAATTTAAATTTATTCATATGATATGTTATTTCTAAAGAAAATGAATATAACGGTTTTCAATATATATTGAGCAAGGGACAACATAAGCCAATGTGTAATCTTTAATGATGTAATTAACTGTTAAAAAAGTACCAACTTCAATGCACCTTTATCTTTCTGAATTGTAATAAACTGTACAATTCATTTCTTAATTTTCACCCTTAACATCAACAGCCTTCAATAGTCCACTGCTGGACATAGGCCTCTCCTTAGAAAAGAGGTTTTGGCCTACTATACGGTTGGTACAGGGTTTGTGACAAGTTTTCCTTCTCTCTGCAGTGCTGTTGTTCTGCGCAGTTTTCTCCCTTAGTCGCCTCTTACGACACCCACAGGATGAATAGGGGTGGTGACACTGTATTCTTAATCCGTCACAACACCCTTAGGGGCGAAAATTGTTTTTTTTTAATTTAAATGAAACCAACTAGAAAGTAAAACTTCAAAGTCGCTCAACATGCTATGAAAAGGGCTATGCTCGGCGTGTCTCTAAGGGATCGCATCAGGAATGAAGTGATCCGATAGAGAACCAAAGTCACCGATATAGCCTACCGGATCGGCAAGCTGAAGTGGCAGTGGGCTGGCCATATTAGCCGCAGAACCGACAAGCGTTGGGAAAAACGAGTTCTTAAGTGTAGGACGCCCACAGGCCAGGTGGAGTGACGATTTGCGCAAGATTGATAGCATGAGCTGGATGCGAGAAGCCCAAAATCGATCTAAGTGACGTGCAATGGGAGAGGCCTATGTCCAGCAGTGGACTACGATAGGCTGATGATGATGAACTAGAAATTATACCATTTCTAATCAAAAAAGAATTTTCCATATTGGTTCTGAGGTAAGAAACCATTAAAAAAAAATACAGCCGAATTGAGAAGAAGAATTTTTCTTTTGAATTCTTAGAGCTTTGGTTTAATGCTCTAGGTTTACAGTACGTTAGCAACCAAGTCGCTTTACGCGTATGTCCAAACGCATAACGTACATATTTATTAAATTATTTAAATTAATAAAGATTACATGACTCCCGACGACTACTCCTCGACCAAGCGTCGAATTTTGATGCAGTTATCACCATCAGTTAGATATTTTTAAGGTAGATAATAACTAAGTAAGTTTTTTTTATGTTAGAGGGGGCAGACGAGCAGACGGGTCACCTGATGGAAAGTGACTACCGCCGCCCATGAACGTCTGCAACTCACGAGTCACAAACGCGTTGCCGGCATTTTAAGTAGAAAAAAAACAATATAATCTTTGTCATCTACATTTATTTCAGAAAGATTTTAAGAGCATCACTTATGTAAAAATACTTTTATTACTCTTTTTAATATTTTTGTGTCGAGTTTTGTGAAAAATTTAGTTATGTCATGTCATGAGTAACATGCCTTGGTATTTCGTACAAAATAAACATTTCTGAACCTTTTTAGGTTTAATAATATTGTGAATGTTAGAACCACAGTCTGTGGCAAAAAGCGGGTATGAGGCGCAAAATTATTTTCTACCCAAATGCTTTATAATTTTTAATTAATTAAAGAAGAAAGGCAGTTATTAAAGAAAGAGGTATATTATTCCCAATTGCATGACACATATAAAAATAATTAAATATTCTAATCACACACAATAAGCACTATTAAATAAGTGCGAGCACATTTTATCAATTGTTTATCGAAAATCACAAACATATGCAATAGATGGTGTTATATTAATATGTTCAATAACCATAATATTTTATGACACAATGAGTTTGGTGTGTTATGAAATGAATTCTTCGGAATCAGGAAGTTAGATGATTGTTATAGACTTTCACACGAAGATTAAGCATTGATTTGAAGAAAGAAAAGCTCTTTTTTAGGAGAACAGAAAATAATAATTTGGAATCTAAGATGTCTCATGCACTGGTTCCATGAATTCGAAAAACTTATTTCAAAAAAAAAGGAAGGTTTGTCTATGCCTCGAGGGAGCCTAACAAAATTTTTAGCACATTTCTATTTTTGAGAAAGTTCACCAAGGCGCCATGTGGACGACGCAATGGAGGACCACGGTAAAATGTTATTCACCACCGGTATTATTATGTTTGAAACATGTGACACAATTGGTAACGCCAGTGAACCTCTGGTTACTGCTCCCCACCGGAGAGGCGTATGTTTATCTATCGCTACTTGTTTTAGTCTTATCCTGAGTATCGTCGTGGCTAGACAGGAAGGATTTTTCCCTTCACCTATCTTTATAACCAGCAGCGAGTCGTCTAATGGAAGATTACCCTAACAGCGTGACAACAGTCGTTCACCCTCATCTCAGAACTAGGAGCATAATTATCGCACCAGGGACTTCCTTTCTAGGGTATACCTGGTTCCCCGGCTATTAGTACCCGAGACGGCGTGCGGTTTTATTCGGTTCGAGTCCGACATGCCACCGATAGGTGGTATACGAGGGGATTTCCACACGGAAAAAAAAATAAAGGAGCATAATTATTCGGTTCAATGCCGACCATCCCCTTGCCGGAATAAGGGCTATATTTATCTGCAACCCTACAGTGATTACAGGCGCTGCTAATAAATTACAACACCTGTACCAAGACATTATTTGTCAAATACACGATTACATCTAACATTCAAGTTATTTGCAACCGGTCCGCATTCGGACAATAAATTATATTAATAGTTGAAATATTACGAAATAAAATGGCCGGTTGTAGTGTATCGTTATACTGTTCGCTGTTATCGATTAGAGATCGTTGT